TGAAAAAAGCCACCTCATTAGGAGACTCTAGAAGGAAACTGGGATCTCCTGGCATTTCTTCCCCAGGGTATGGGCCCCTCCTCTTCTACAGCCTGCCAAGGCCAGGGCCTGGGAATAGCTCCCCTCAGGCAGTGTGCTCTGTGCCAGTGTCCAAGGATTTTAAGGAATTTAATTAAGTAACTAATAGACTAGGAGATGTTTAAGGTGTGATTTTGTTGACATTAAACACAGTTATTTAAATATCAGTTAATTAGTGCTTTTTAATATTGCTTCTTGAACTCAAGTTTGGTTACTGTAGTTGACGTAGATACTTGACAAACCCAAGTTCAGTGTGGAGGCGTGGGGCACAGTTGAGCACGGACTTGGAGGAGGAGAGGAAGAGAGAACACATAATTTACAGCTGCTGAAATAATTCAGCTGTTTCCCTTGCTGATTGCTCTCCTCCTCTGTGCTGCTGATGCAGTGAATTGTTAATGGGATGGGCTTTTGCTTTTCCAGTCAGGGTTGGGATGAGGCCATTTTGATTGTTGGGAATAAACTCTGAGATTGGGAGGAACACTTTTAAGCTTGAATCTAATGCCACATTCCCCCTTAATCTCAGCGCAGAATCTAACCTTTGGGGTGTGCTTTGATATAATGAGGGCTGCATCCTGTTGGGTGAAAGCAGGCACTGAACTTTGGAATGTTGTTCACTGGGTAATGAGGGAAAATGGGGAGATGAGAATTTAGGACTGGGGTTCAGCTTACAGGGCTGCAGACGAACTGAGTTGCCCACAGAGAAAACAGCTCTATGGAGTGGTTGGTGAATGCCTGCAAGGGCTCCCTGCCTGAAAAATCTGCTCTGCACACCTGCCTGGGTGGATGTCAGTATTCTGGATTAAGGTGTTCATCTGCTCACCTGTTCATCTCTCCACCTACTCTTTTCATTTATTTAGTTATTTATCAGCCATACTTTTATCACCTGCTTGCCGTGGCCTAGACCTTGGACTAGCTAAGGATGGAACAGTGAATGAGGAAGGAGTCTTTGCCCTCAGGGAGTTCATATTTACAGTACAGTTTGGTGGGTCTTAGGATGGCCGCACAGAGAATTATGGGAGGACCAGCAAACTATGGCAAATCAAACCCAGCAGGATATAAAAATGATCATCTGACTTAAGTTGGTTTTATCCCAGGTATGCAAGGGTGATTTCACATTAGGAGATCTTCACACAAAATTTGCTATAATAATAGGCTAAAGGGAAAAAACTGTGTGATCATCTTAGTAGATGTAAAAAACACACATGGTAAAATATAACACCCATTCATGATAAAAATAGCTGTTTAGAAATAGAAGGGGGCTTCTTTACCTTGACCAAAAATACTTACCAGAAAAAAGTACAGAAAACACCATTTTTGCTTTTTAAATTTTAGAAGAGAGAATAGTGTAATGAATGTACCCATGTACCCATTGTCCAGTTTCAGCAGTTACCAACTTGTGAGCAGTCTTAAATTCTTTTTCAGTGTGGTAAAATATATATACCATGAAATTTGCCATTTTAACCATTTTTTAAGTGTATAATTCAGCAGCATTAATTACATTCACAGTATTGTACAACCATTTCCACTATCTACTTCTAACTCTTTTTTTATCATCCCAGACAGAAGCTCTGAACCCAGTAAGCAATAACTTCCCATTTCCTATCTCCTCCCCTAGCCCCGTGACCTCTGAGCTACTTTCATGTCTTAATTTGCCTATTGTAGATACTTTATATTAGTGGAATTACACAATATTTGTCCTTTTGTGTTTGGCTTATTTCACTTAGCATAATATTTTTAACGTTCGTCCATATTGTAGCATGCTTCACAACTTCAGAATTCCATTGTATGACTGAAGAATCCATTTATGTATATGCCACATTAAAAAAAATCTATTAAAAAATCTATCCATCTCTTGGTGAATACTTGGGTTGTTTCCACCTTTTGGCAACAGTGACATGCAAATACCTTTTTGAGTCCCTGTTTTCAGCTCTTTAGGTATATACCTGGGAGTGGAATTGCTGGGTCATAGAATTCTCTGTAGCTTTTTGAAAAACTGCCAAAGTTTTCCACAGTAGCTGCACCATTTTTACATGCCCTCTGGCAATGTACCACTTTTCCACATCTTTGCCAGTAGTTGTTTTCCTTTTTTTAAAAATCATTGTCATCGTAATAGGTGTCAGATGGTATTTCATTGTGGCTTTGATTTGCCTTTCAGTAACCACGACTGATAATAAGCACCATTTCATGTGCTTATTGGCCATTGTGTATCTTCTCTGGAGAAATACCTTCTTTGTATATTTCTTTGCCAGTTTTTAAATTGGGTTGTCTTTCTGTTTTTGAGTTGTAGGAGTTGTTTATGTATTGTGGAAATTAAACCCTTATCAGATATGTGACTTGCAAATATTTGCTCCCATTCTGTGGGTTTTCTTTTCATTCTTTTGCTAGTGTTGAGGCACAGACATTTTTAAAATTTGATGGAATCCAGTTTATATGTTTTTTTCCAATATGGATACCTTTTATTTTTCTTGTCTAATTGTTTTGGCTAGAACTTTCAGTATTAATGTTGAATATAAATGACACAAGCAAGCATCCTTACATTGTTCCTAATCTTGGGAAAAACTTGCAACTTTTCATCATTGATGTTAGCTGTGGGTTCTTCATACATGACCCTCTTCATATATGACCTATATTATGTTAAAGCTCTCTTCCTGGTTTATTGAGTGTTTTTAGTATGGAAGAATGTTGGATTTTGTTAAATGCTTTCTGGGTATCAATTGAGATGATCATGGTTTTGGGTTTTTTTTCCCCTCCCTTTATTTTATCAGCATGTAGTAAATGGATTAATTTTTACTTGTTGAACCACCCTTTTATTCCCGGGATAAATACTACTCAATCATGTTATACAGTCCTTTTTAATATGCTGCTCAATTTGGCTTCCTAGTATTCTTTTGAGGATCTTTGCATATATATTCATATGGGATATTGGTCTGTAGTTTTCTTGTAGTGTCCTTGTCTTGCTTTGGCGTCACGATAATTCTGGACTCAGAATGAGTTCAGAAGTGTTCCCTTTCCTTGTATTTTTTTTTTAATATTTGGAAGGATTGGTATACTGCTACCTTTCTTAACAGTCACTTTGCTGGCTAGTAGGCCCTAGGCTCTGTGGCATGATGGTACTTATTTGAAACTCTGGCCTTGAAGCTGGGCCAGGTCATCTTTTACATATTCTTTTGTCTTTAACACCTCCATCTTGGCCACCTGTCTAGTGAGCCATTCATACTGATGATGCACACTGGCAGGTACCCTGGCAAACAGGGTCAAGTTGATAAGTTGGACTTTAAGATTCCAGCTTTGCCCTTGTACTCTTTCTTTGGGCTGATGAACGGATGGTCTGTACTTGGGCTTGCCAAACAAGAGCAAGGCCTCTGAGCAATCCCAAGGACCAGATCAAGTCAACAGACAAGGGAGTGGGTTCTATGTTGAAAATAATATTTATTTATTTTTTAAAGATTTTATTTATTTATTTGACAGAGAGACAGAGAGAGAGGGAACACAAGCAGGGGGAGTGGGAGAGGGAGAAGCAGGCTTCCTGCCGAGCAGGGAGCCCGATGCGGAGCCCGATGCGGAGCTCGATCCCAGGACCCTGGGACCATGACCTGAGCCGAAGGCAGATGCTTAACGACTGGGCCACCCAGGCGCCCCAGTCTTTGATCTGTTCTGAATTAAGTTTTGTATGTGGTGTAAGGGAAGAGTCCATCTCATCTTTTGCATGTGGCTGTTTACTTGTCTCAGAGCAGTTTGTTGAAGAGACTGTTTTTTCCCCATGGAGTGGTATTGGTACCCTTGTTGAAAATAAGTTGATCATACATGATTATTTCTGGGTCCTCAGTTCTATTCCATTGGTCCTTATGTCTGTCCTTAAGGCTGTACCACACTGTTGTGATAACTGTAGCTTTGTAGTAAGTTTTGAAATCAGGAAATACAAGTTTTCTAACTTTGTTCTTTTTTTCCAAGATCTTTTTAGCTGTTCTGAGTCCCTTGAAATTCCATATGTACTTTAGGATGGGTTTCTCCACTTCTGTAACAGCACTGGTATTTTGATAGAGATTGCATTGAATCTGCGTATTGCCTTGGGTAGTATTGTCATCTTAACAATATTAAGTCACTAATCCATGAACATGGGATATCCTTTTATCCTTTTTTAATTTTCACAGGTACTAGGGCCTGTGCTTCAGGCCCTCCCCTGGCCTCCCAAAATTGTTTGGCCATTTGAAAAGCGATGTGTAAGGCTTTGTGGCTTGGGAATATTGAACTTTGCTGGTTGTTGGGATACTGATGGCAGCTTTCTTCAGGTATAACAGTGAGCATGGTTTAGAAGTGAATGATTATGAAGGCTTATGAGGGTTTGGGCTCAGGTGTGTTCACACACAAATAAATTGGTTAGTTTCTTTCTCTCACTGTCATAGCCAATACCACCCTGTACAACCTGGCAAGTTGATAATGAGGAAGTAAGGAACCACAACTGTTGTATCTCATGTAAGAGTCCTCCTTGGCTCTATGCTACCAACCAAGGCGTATCTGCCCATGAGTGGCTGAACTCCTTATGGGAGATGGAGGCTTCCTTTAGATCTTTTTTTTTTTTTTAAAGATTTTATTTATTTGACAGAGAGAGACACAGTGAGAGAGGGAACACAAGCAGGGGGAGTGGGAGAGGGAGAAATAGGCTTTCCGCGGAGCAGAGAGCCCAATGCGGGGGTCGATCCCAGGACCCTGGGACATGACCTGAGCCAAAGGCAGATGCTTAATGACTGAGCCACCCAGGCGCCTCGGCTTCCTTTAGCTCTTATCCTGTGGTAGAAGACCTTTGGTACCTCTATGCGGAAAATGTCTTATCTATTGAACAAGTGACATCTTAGGAATCACAGTGCTGGGGTATCAGGCACCAGCTTCCTGTTGACCTTCTGTTTTCTTTTTTATTTTCCTCAGGTCTATATCTATGGCTCTCCAGGACCTGCCCCCTTCTAGGATGGCTCTTCTGGGAATGCTGCTTGGGCTGCTGATGGCTTCCTGCTTCACCTTCTGCCTCAGTCATCAGAACCCGGTAAATATTTAGCGCAAATAGAAGAATCCCTGTAAGGTCCAAGAAAACCTCCATGCCATCAAGGCTTCTGTGGGAGTAGGGTGAGCTTTTATTTTTCTTACAGGAATGTGGGCAGCACTGGATCAGGGTATATGGGTACTTCTCCACCCCCCACCCCCCGCCACCAACCCCACACCTTACTCCTCTGGCCTCTGTTTAAAGCTCATAGTATAGTTTCCCTTTGGAGAAAATATGATGATGATGATGATGATGATACAATAATATCAATAATGATGAATTTACCATGTACCAAGTGGTTTATTAAGTGCTTTATGTGTATTCTCATTTAATCCCCTCAACAACCCTACAATGTAGACAACTACAGTTAATTATCCTCATTTTGAGAAGGATCTCGAGGCTCAGAGACATTAAGTAACTTGGCCAGGATCATTCAGCTAGTTTGTGGCAGAATTGGGAAGGTCAGGATTCTCCCCAAGAGCTGCTTGCCTGTGTCGTGAGCACCAAGTAAGACTCTGCTTCTTCCTCTACTCCTGTCTTCCTTGTGCTTTCTCCGTCTGTCTCTGTCTCTCTGTTCTCTTTCCTTCTGTCCTTTTCTTCCTGTTCATTCCAGGCCTCTCTTCATTAACCTAGACCTAACTGCTCAGGGTTTCTGTCACTGCCACAGGCAGGAGTAGAATGACTGAGAAGGCTCTGAGCTTGGCCTGGCTGCAGCACGCCAAGGCTCCTGGCCCTGTTTCCCTGGCTGGCCCTAGCTACAGCCTGCCCTTGACCAGCTCCCAATGCCCCCTTGACAGTCAAGAGAAGCCTTGACTGTCAGCTTTCTGACAGTTTCACTCTCCCCTGGCCACCTTCCCCAACCCCAGGGGCTCCTACTAAATGCTGGGTAAGTGCTGCAGGCTTTGGAGCAGGAGGGCCTTGAAGTGCAAATGACAATTGTGATGAATTTAATAACAATGCAGCTCAGCTGAGGTTCACCTCTGGCTCATGGCAAGCTTCCACCTTCTCTCTAAAGTCATTTGTTTTCTCTCTGCCTTTCTCCCCACTTTGTGGAGCAGAAGAGAAAGTGCAGTTAGGAGTCACGAATTCTTTTGAGCTTTTAGTGTTCTCTAAGATCTTACTGGTGCTGGGGTTTTTTTGTGGTTGTTTTTTGTGGGTTTTTTTTGTTTTTTGGGCCTTTTCCTCAAGGATAATGAGGATGAGATCCCATTGGCCCCTGAGGGTGGGACTGGTCACAGCATGAGTTAGGGTCTGTCCTTGGCATAGCCTTGGCCAGAAAAGCACACAAGTGTCTCAAGGGATCAGGGCTACATCCCGTCCCCCTGACCCAACCTGCAGCTCACGGGGATCTGGTGCTCCCCATCATGAGCTTTAGCAGATGCACAATTAACAAAAACGTGCTGATGAATTTGCTTAAGGACTGTGTGTTAGTAAGTCCCTTTTGGATAATAGTCCAACCAAATAGATGAGTTTTCAGAGCCATAATTATTCTGGCCCACTTATATTAGCTCTATTGAGTCTAGTCTCAGAAAAATGTTAATACTGACTTTCATCAACAGAAGCTACTTTTATCCTTATGTCTGTTCCTAAGCTGTATCCATTTGTCATAATCTTTCATCATGTGCTAAGCACAAGTAGGAGTTGAAGCATCTTTTCTCTCATACCATAAAAATTGCTGCCCTGTTGGCATTTAAAATCCAAATTATGCAGCCAGCCACCTTCAAAACAGTGAAAATGGGTGGTGGGGGAGATGGGGGTGGTTATGATCCTTTCTTCAGAGCCTGGAGTCCAGGCAAGAGATCCTGGTGACCTGGAATTGTCCTCCCAAGGGCTTTTGTGCAGGTTAATGGCCACCCAGGAAAGGTTGTGTGTATCAGGGTATGATGTGGAGCCAGCCACCTTTCCTGGATTCTGTTGTCCTACATCTCTGGGGTGCCACAGCTTAGGAGCAGTGTGGATGCTGAAGGGGTGTGGTTGTGTGGTATCCTGGACTTCAGGAAGATAGTGAGCGATGTGGAAGGTAGTGGGACCGGTGGAAGGAGCTCAGACCCTTGGTAAGTTCCCTTTTGCCACCTACATTGGCAATTTGGCCATTTCTGAGTTTTGTTTCCTCATCCAGAAAATAGGGTTGATCCTTTCTGTTAAGATTTCAGTGTAGATGAAATGTAATTACATATATAGAGCACCTAGCGTTGGGACTGGCAGAGTATGGTCAATAAATGTCAGCGGTTATTTTTAGTAAGGGGGTGGCTGCTTTTATGGTTTAATGTAGGGCTCTCTCAGGTAGGGGTCCTGCCCCAGAATGTTGCCCTGGCAGTTTGTTTCTGTCACAGCATCAGTCAACTTACCATTGGAGATTATTCATTCTCCTGGATCTTGAAGGCTTTGGTCTTTAAGAATCTCTTATTCAGATACAAGTGCAAGGAAGTGAGACATGGTAAGCTGTTGTCAGCTAACACCTTAGCTGGAATATCTTGCTAGTCAGTTGACAAGAAATTGGTATTTGGAGTGATGGTGGCAGGGAAAAGAGAGTGCTGAGGTTTCAGCATGGAATGGAGCCCCGAGAAGCCAGCTGAGAGGGCACGAGATGTGGGGTTTACTTGAGAGTTGACCAAGGTATGGCTGGCTTCTGCCACCTCTTGGTCTTTATCTCCTGTTAAGGACACAGGACACACTGCCTGAGCTCAGAGAGGCTAGTCTTGCTTGTCCTTTCTCTGGGACTGTGGTTTTTTTACTTGGTCCATGAAAGTCTTCCCTTTCCCCTGGGAGTGGGGGATGTGCTAGAAGACATGCTAGGGTGATCTCCCTGTCCCCCCTACCCCTTCATTCCCTCAGCATGCAGGGCATAGCCATTAGGACACATGACTAAGAACAGAAACACAGAAGGGAGTCCAAATTCCTGCATGGGCTTTGGAGCCAGGCAGGCCTGACTTAAATCTCTGCTCTGCTTTTCTTAGCAGTGTGATTTTTTGCACAGGCCCTGTACCTCTCCTCATCTGTAAAATGGGAATGAAAGTGTGTGCTTCACAGATGAAACTTGGCTGAGTTGTGAGGCGTGGAAGGCACTTTATAGCCTGGAGCTACGGTTGGGAGCTGCTGTTACCATTACAGCCTCATCCCCGTGACCTGCTTTTTCTCAGAACCTTTTCTGGAATGTCCCTTTTGAATCGACCTCCGCCCTCAGTGCTTGTCAGATGTGATTTGGGCAATAGTCCAAAGTCACTCAGAGTTAGATTTGGTGAATAGGGTGAGCTGATCAGAGGAGCACCAATTTTCTATTACCCGCACTAAAGACTGATTTGTACTGTAAAATAATGGCAGATCATGTGCGTGCACGCACGTGTGTGTGTGTGCGTGTGTGTGTGTGTGTGTGTGTAGCTTAAAATCTGCTTCAGAGGTGACACCAAGCGGAAGCTCAAAAAGCATTTGGAGCAGTGGCGGGATTATTAGCTCCTCTAGGGCTTGAGGCATGTGGCTCAGGGGTTCATCAGTCTCCTTTTTGAATTTACTCTATTGACCTTAAAAGAAATCTAGGAAAAGAGGCTTTCTCAGCTTCTAGTCAAGAGAATGAACACGGGCTCAGCTTAGAGTTTGAAGGGCTTTCTGCCATGTTTTCATCCTCACCATTCCTGTTGCCTCTTTCTGCTTCTCTTGATGATGAGAATTTGGTGGCTTGTTTACAGCCACACCTGCCAGGACTTACCTGGCTAATAGACTAAAACAAGAGCTGCAGTTTAAGGCTTAGAGATGTTTAGTTTGGCCCTCATAGTGTTCTAAAATAAGGAAAGTTGACGTAAAAATCTGTTTCTCTGTTTTCTTTTTCTCATGGCAGTGGTGAACCAGCTGAGTAGCAGCTGTGTTCCTTAGTCAAGGCAGGAGGGCTCCAGTTTTCACAGCACAAGCACTCCCCATTGTTGGACACCCGGCCGTCCTTGGCCCCTTGAGGCCTTTGACCCACACACTTTGGAGGTAAATTTTATTAACATTCCCCTAGTCCCATGGTCCAGTGTATGGTGCTCATGGCAGAGGCTGACCAGCATGGATGGGCCCTGGATTACATAGGTTTTGGTTATTTTGTGGACAAGGTAGTCTTTGTTCTGGAATGTGGGACTACTCCCTGGGTTCTAGCGGGCATGCTGTTTTGGGCTTGCCTCAGTGCAAGGCATCCAGAACACATACCTGGCTGTGGAGAGGCTTGTTCCTTCATTCCTTTGTTCTTGGATGACGGTAAACTAAGTCCTGTGCTGGGCATGGGAGCACGCTGATGAAAGAGACTGACACAGAGCCTGCTCTTAGGAAATAACAGCTTTTGGCCAATGTCTCCTGCCATTCTGTCCCACAAGCATGGCTGCTGTTCTGCTCCTAGTTTTCTTTTGAGCTCAGATCTGTGCAAACTCCATGTTGAAGGGGTACAAGAGGTTTGATGGGCCCCAGGCGGCTCAGGTGACCACAACCCATACCTGACCTGCCTGAGTCCTGTCATAGTGTAGAGTCACTATTGGATGTCCTAGCACAGACTCATCCAACCTGGAACCTATGGTTGTCTTTACAAGTAATAAGAGTAATGGCTACCACATACCCAGGGCTAGTGTTTTGCAAGGTGGTGCCTCATCTCATGTATGAGCTAGATGTCGCTGTTACTTCCACTTCACAAATGTGAAAGCGGGCTTAGAAAATTAAGTAACTTCCCAGGAGTCACAAGAAACTAGGATTTGCACTTCTGGTTATGTGATATGGAGCTTGAGTTCTTAACCACCATGCTGTAGTCTTTGCTTCTCATTACTTGTGACATGATTTGAGGGCTTCTTCTTGTCCAAGATCTCTTCCTTACCGGTCCTTAACAAGATCTGAAATCCTGCCATCTGAATTTCATGCCTGTATTTCTTGTTAAAATGTAAACATCCTTGGAGGGGCTTTACATTGTCATGATCATTAACTAAACACCTTGCCCTTTCCTCTGACAGTTACTTAAAGGTCAGACCCTTAGGTACTGGGTAGCTGGGGATGCCTTTCTGGAGCTGGGGTGCTGCTTGGAAGAGATGCATTGCTACCTCCCATGCAGGGTTAGGATTGTTGGGAAACCAAAATGAGATGTGTGTAAAGGTCCTAGCTCAGGTTTGGGTTCATAGGAATTCACGAAATATGCTCTCTGTTATTAGGGGATGACTCCGGAGGGGTGAAGGATGAAATAACCTCCCATTGTGCTATTTGGGGGTTCCTCCTTGCTATCCCAGAGCTCTGGAACCCTCTGGTTACAGTTTCTTGAGGCCCTACTGCTTTTATGCAAGAAAGGTTTAAAAATGGGACAGGAAGAATGGGAGGCCGGGAAGGAGCAAAATGAATAATACTTTGTATTTATCTTGCATCTCTGTCTCCTGAGCTCAAAGTGCTCCATAGACACCATCTCATTAATCCTCCATGCTCTCCAGGGGGTGGAAGGAAACAGGTTTTAGGAATTGGTTTTCAGCTTTGGCTTCTTCCCCCCTCAGCCCAGCTGGACTCCCAGCTTCCCACTTGCAGCCCTTTCACCGTGGATTGTAATGTCCCAGAAGGTCATTCATGCCTTATAGACACCCTGGAGAATTGCCAGGCCCTTGTTGTGCCCTGCTGGGCTGCATAGGAATCAGTCAGGCCTCAGCTGGCAGCTTTTGTATGTCTGGGGTGGCCATTTGAAGACCTATTCTCCCATTCATATATGTATTTTTTCTTTTAAATACATCTTTTTTATTTGTAAGAGCAAGTAGGTGAGAGTTTCAGACATCACACAGTTTAGTAACATGGCAAGTAAAAAAAAGCAAAAGGCTCTTACTGTCTCCTTCTGCCAACCCCTCTCCCCAGGTTGTTCCCTTAACCCCCTTGAGATAGCAATGAACTGGGGCGCCTGGGTGGCTCAGTTGGTTGAGAGTCTGCCTTCGGCTCAGGTCATGATCCCAGGGTCCTGGGATCAAGCCCCATGTCGGGTTCCCTGCTCAGCCGGGAGCCTGTTTCTCCCTCTCCTCCCTGCTCATGCTCTGTCTCTCTCTCTGTCAAATAAATAAATTAAATTAAAAAAGAGATAGTAACGAACACTGTGGAGTTTTTCCTTACTCATATACAAAAGTTTTTCCTTACTCCTATACACATAACACATGCTGTGTGTTCATTTAACCGTATCACCTCACTTATACTGGTTCTGAGGCTAACCTTGTGAAGGGTCCAAACAAGGCTGGGGAGGGGAGGAGGACAGAGGATAAGGCTATACCACCCAGGCCATGTTCTTTGTTTGCCTGGTGCCTAGCTATGGTGGGTCATGCCCTGTGTTTTCCTCTCTCTGAAGGAGTTTGCGCTCACCAGCCCAGAGAAGAGCAGGACCAAAGAAGTGGAGAGAAAGGAAACCACAGCAGAAGAGGAGCTGGACTCCGAGGTCCTGGAGGTGTTTCACCCGACCCATGAGTGGCAGGCCCTTCGGCCAGGTACCCAGCCCAGCCCTCTCCCCGTGAAACATACTCTGAATTCTAAGTGCGTACGTCCTTCGTCCCCACAGGGCTGCTTTGAAAGAGCAGTCACTCTGTGGCCCACTGGAGGGGAACAGTGCGGTCCTTCCGAGTGATGACTGCTGCTGCAGGGCTTAGGGACCTTCATTTTCCAGCAGAACAGAGATTGCGGCATGTGAGTGCCCTGAAAGGGAGGCAGGTGGTGGGTGGCCGAGCTTTCTGAGCAAGTGATTGAAAACTTTCTTTCCTTGCGCTTCTGAAACACAGAAGAGGCAGTGACATGTGCCTCACTCTGCAAATGCTATTTTAGGCTCTGCTGCTCGGCTCAGTGCTGCTGAAATGTTGTTCACGGGAGAGTACTGAGCACCGGTTCGGGGCAGGAGTGTTCTGTTGCTAAAGGAACCTGTGCCAAGAAACAGGGGCTGGTCCTGGCCTGGTTTCTACATGGGGCATCCTCAGAAAGAGCAACTTTCGAGCCCTTTCATGAACCGGGGCCCATGGCTTAGAAAGTAACCCGCATTTGTGGAGAGTTTACCATATTCAGGTACGGTGTTAGGTGCTTCATGTGCATAATCTTGTTCAGTCTTCACAACTGTAGGAACTGTGATTGTCTTCATTTTCCTATGAAAACATTGAGGCTTGTTGACTTGTGTCATTCAGCTGATGTATCCTAGGTCACTGACCACAGAGCCTAGACCCACCTTCCTCCCCTTTGTCCTTCTAGTCCCAGCCTTGTTGACTATAGCCCCACTATGGGGACACTTGGGTCTGTTCTCAAGAGTGGGCTGTTTGCAGTCTGCCCTGTGGCAGCTGCCACCGTGGTTTCATCAGCTCCGAGCCAGTATTCATCACTGTGTCCTCACTGCCCCCGTTGCTGCTGAGCTGGCAAGGGGCAGCCTTCACCATGCCAGCCAACTTTCTGGTAGCACTAGCACTCCTGCTGGGCTTACATACAGGTCGTTGGTGCCACTGGAGAGTGATGAAGCACCAAGCAAGTGAAGTAGGAGCCCAAGGCATGGGGCAGAGGGAGGTTTTAAGAACAGAGGTATGGGGGTGCCTGGGTGGCTCAGTCGTTAAGCATCTGCCTTCGGCTCAGGTCACGATCCCAGGGTCCTGGGATCGAGCCCTGCATCGGGCTCTCTGCTCCGCGGGAAGCCTGCTTCTCCCTCTCCCACTCCCCCTATTTGTGTTCCCTCTCTCTCTGTGTCTCTCTCTGTCAAATAAATAAAATCTTTAAAAAAAAAAGAACAGTGGTATGGGGTTCAGCAGATCTGACCTTTGGCTGTCCTCCCGCAGCTTCTCTGAGAACTGAGCTCCCTGAGCCTTGAGGACCGAAACAAGAGGCCTCACCAGAATGGGGCATGGAATATGTGGGCTGTTTCCACTGGTTTGATGGGGTTAAAAGTGCTTATACCACTTGTAACCAGGCAGGTGCTTAGAGCAGATGAGGTCAATATCCTGTGACCCCTAATCCTAGCATCTCTGTTCCTGTGGCACCCTTCAAGGCCCTGGCCCGCATTGTAGAACAAGCCTGGAAGTTCTGACCTGGCAGTTGGGCTGCTGTGTTAATTTTAAACAAAAGAGCCCCTCTCTCTAACCTTGGGGAGGGAGAGCCCGAGCATTTGTGAGAAGGGCAAGCTGAAGGCTCTGAGTGCCTTCTGGAGAATTAGAGTGGAACACTGATTTTCACATTTAACTTGATAACCCATTGACATCACCCTCTGCCTTCTAGTTTCTCAAGAGCCTCTTGTAAAATCTGCACCAAATTACCTTGAAACTGCCCCAAAAGTGGTGTGTTGTGGTTGAGCACAGACACTCAGGCCCCACAGCTCAGGGGGCAAAGCAGTTCTGGTTCTAGTCATGCCTGCCCCATCCCAAGAGTGTTTTTGCCTATACTCACCCTCAAAGTGGGATGGGTGGGGGGAGGTTAGGTGAGAAGCTTATTCTGGCCTGAGTGTGTGATGTGGGGTGATTCAGAGTGTGCTGCTGTGGAGTCAGACCAGTGGCGGCAGAGAAGACTTTGTTGGGCCCGGTACAGGACTGAGGTCTTCTGTTTGTTATATTAAGAAGATTTTGTAGGTGCATCTGTTGGCAGCAAATTGACCTCTCGGTGGTCTGTGTGGATAGCCGGCACTTGCCTTCAATCAGAGTATAATATTTAATCCCCCACATTCTGAGTGCTGCCTGGGAGCTTCCAACACAGCTACTTGAAGGAGTGTTAAAAGGAACGTAACCAGTTGTAGGAACTTGTTTGATGGGTACATGATTGGGGAGGTAATATAATTTAGCAGTTAAGAGGACAGACTTCTAATTTATTTATATTTATTTATTTTATTTATATTCAATTAATTAACATATAGTGTATTAGTAGTTTCAGATGTAGAGTTCAGTGCTCCTTACATCATGTGCCCTCCTTAACGCCCATCACCCAATTACCCCATCTCCCCACCCCCTTCCCCTCCAGCAACTCTCAGTTTATTTCCTATGATTAAGAGTCTCTCATGGTTTGTCTCCCTCTGATTTCATCTTGTTTTCTTTTTCCCTCCCTTCCTCTGTTTTCCTCTGTTTTGTTTCTCAGATTCCACATATGAGTGAATCATATGATAATTGTCTTTCTCTGATTGACTTATTTCGCTTAGCATAATACCAAGAGGACAGACTTTAGACTCAGCCAGTCCTGGGTTCAAATCCTAGCTTTGCTATCTAGGGGATCTTGGGCGAGTCACTGAATCCTTCTCCTCTTCAGTTTCCCCATTGGTAATATGGGGGAAATGTCCTGTCCTCTCTGTGTGAGGGTTTTTGACATCAAGATACTAGTCAGTATGCTCAGTTCTGATTTTAAATGGTAAATTCTCCATTTGTGCTACTCCTTAAATTTGATTGTGGAATTGGATGCCAGTAAGTGTGCGTGAGTGTGTAGGCTTCTATCCTCTCTGGTCTTCAATGGTGAAGGGGGCTTACGGTGAATGGGAGAGACTTCTGTGGTCCTCAAGTGCCCTCCCTCTTTCCCTCTGCAGAGATTTTTGATGAGGGAGCAGAAAGGGTTAGCACAGCTTTTTCTGCCTGGAAGTCAGGGACCTCGCACAAGAAAGATGATGGAGTATCTTTGGGGACTTTTAAGAAAATGGCTAGTTTTTGTTGACAGCTATTATCCCCAGTTTGGTAACTTTTGTCCCCTTATGTCTCTGAAGGGAGGACCTCAGCTCTCTTGTCCTCAGGCCTCCAAGGAGGGCATCCTGGGCTACATGGTCTGGGCTCATAGGAAGGTAGCTTTCCAGGCTGCCTGCTGTGACCTGGAACACCAGGGGACCTATGCATGACTTTATGGGCCTTCCCACCAGGCCAGGTGGGTATTGGGCCCCAGCCTTTCAGCCCTGGAGCAGCTGCAGGTCACTCTGCTGAAGTCTGACCGCCTCTGTTATTACTGTCAGCATCCTCACTGTGAGCCGCTTGTTCCTGGAAGTGATTTTCCTGTCTCTCTCTGTCTTCTGGTTTATTTTGGGATCTGTCTCACCTTACGGAGGCACAGCAACCATTTGAGTGTGGATTCAGCATCAGCTGTTCACAAGCAAGCAGAAGAAAGCTGTTTGCTAGCAGGTCCTATGGGTTCTGGGCAAGCAATTCAGAAATTTGTCCTGGGGTGGAGGACCCCTGAGACCCAGGATGTTGTGCCTGTGTACTTGTTACTACAGGAGGCCAGTCACAGCCAAATGTGGTGGAGTCTGTGCTCCCTGGGCATTTCTGAGATGCTGCTTGTGCCAGGCACTGTACTCGTAGCCAGAGATACAAGTAATATGTCACAGTTACTGAGTGTTGATTGTGTCAGTGCTATAACTACCCTCATTTTTATAGACAAAACTGAGTCTTAGAAGTGACTTAGCCAAATGACCAATAAGTGGTAGAGTCAATTCAAAACAAGCTTCGGCCCCCAGGCTGAGCTCCTCACCACCGTACCACGCTCTCTTTTTGAGTAGCAAATGAGACCTGACTCCTACCTTCCAGTAGCTTATAGTCTCACAGAGGATACAGAGACAGAAAAAGGTGCTAGAGTGTTTTGGATGTTCTGGTGGAAGTGTCCTGTGCTCACTGAGGGCACAAAGGAGGCTGTGGGGAGGCTAGGGCCTTCTCTCCATAGTGTTGAGATCTCTGTGGAACAGTGAGTCAAATTTTATGATGCTGAACTTCCAACCCCATGAAAGTTCTCTTTTTGAGCTGTATGTTCTTGGCCAGGTTGATAAGAATCTTTGAACCTTCGTTTCCTCATCTGAAAATATCTGCTTCCCAGAGATGATGTGAGACTAAAACAAGATTAACATATGTAAAATGTTTCACACAGGACTTGGCATCTAGGAAATAGTTAGTGGCTATAGTTGTCATTTAAAAAAAAATACACCTCTCTTGCCTTCCTTGGGGACCTGAAGGAGAAGTGGAGGTTGACAAAGCAGCCTGAGCAAAGAGCCCTGTTGTCCTGCCCATCAGCCAGTGCTGCTTGTTGGCCCCATGTGGGCTCAGGGAAGCGCAAACCTGGGGCTCCCTACTGACCTGAGCTGACTTCTAAGAGGAGGCTGTCAGAACCTCAGAAATATTGGCATCAGCACAAAGAGCCCACTTAATGGGAGCACGCAGGAAGCCTGTGCAGGAACACATTCGTGTGAGGGGGTTAAAAAAAAAAAAAAAAAAAAGGAAAAGAAAAAAAATCCAAATCATCAACAACTGATGAGAGCAATCCAAGAATTATAGAGCACCAGCCATCTGGTCAGATCATTTCAGATCTGCACGAGCAATAGGAGGGAATTGAATTTTAAAAACCTCATTTATAGTAGGCCAACTACTCTGTTTCAAGTATTTAAGAGAGGAGTCTGATTTCCTGCAGGCCCTGGACATCTGTCTGAAGGAGCGCCTGACTCTGGTCTGGGTGACTCTGTGGGATTGTCTCTGGGAGGCCTTTGGCCCCTTGCAGCTTGGAAGGGGCTGTATGA